CCTTTGGTAGAATACAAAACTAGCCAGGCATAGTGGCATATGCCTGTAGTCCCAGCTACTTGGGAGGCTGAGAAAGGGGAATCACTTGAACCCAGAAGGCAGAGTTTGCAGTGAGTCGAGATCACACCATTGCACTCCAGCCTGGTCAACAAGAGTGAAAGTTCGTCTCAAAAAAAAAAAAAAAATTTTTTTTTTTGATACTTTGGTACAGACAGGGTTTTGCCATGTTGCCCCGGCTGGTCTCAAGCTCCTGGGCTCAAGTGATCCAGCCCCTTCATCCTTCCAGAGTGCTGGGATTGCAGCAGGCATGAGCCACTGTACCTGGCCAAGAGTAACTTTTTTTTTGAGACGTAGTCTTGCTGTCGCCCAGGCTGGAGTGCAGTGGTGTGATCTTGGCTCACTGCAACCTCCACCTCCTGGGTTCGAGCAATTCTCCTTTTAGCCTCCCAAGTAGCTGGGACTACAGGCATGTGCCACCACACACAGCTAATTTTTGTATTTTTTATTAAAGAGGAGTTTCGCCATGTTGGCCAGGCTGGTCTCGAACCCCTGACCTCACGTGATCTACCCACCGTGGCCTCCCAAAGTTCTGGAATTACAGGTGTGAGCCACTGAGCCCGGCTGATTGGTTTGTTTTTTGAGACACAGTCTTACTTCATCATCCGGGCTGGAGTGCAATAGTGCAGCCTCAGCTCACTGCAACCTCAGCCTTCTAAGTTCAAGTGATTCTCCTGCCTCAGCCTCCCGAGTAGCTGGGATTACAGGCATGCACCACCATGTTCAGCTAATTTTTGTGTTTTTAGTACAGAGAGGATTTCACCATGTTGGCCTCTCTGGCCTCAAACTCCTGACCTCAAGTGATCTGTCCAGCTCGGCCTCCGAAAGTGCTGGAATTACATGCATGAGCCACTGGGCCTGGCCCAAAACATTCTTTCTCTTTCTCTTTTTTTTTTTTTTCTCAAGATGGAGTTTCACTCTTGTTGCCCAGGCTGAAGTGCAATGGCATGACCTCGGCTCACTGCAACCTCCGCCTCCCGGGTTCAAGTGATTCTCCTGTCTCAGCCTCCAGAGTAGCTGGGATTAGAGGTGCATGCCACCATGCCCAGCGAATTTTTGTGTTTTTAGTAGAGATGGGGTTTCATTGTATTGGTCATGCTGGTCTCAAACTCCTAACCTCAGGTGAGCTGCCTGGCTTGGCCTCCGAAAGTGCTGGGATTACAGGTGTGAGCCACCACACCCAGCCTATTTTATTTTATTTTATTTTATTGATATAGGGTTTTGCTCTGTTGCCCAGGCTGGAATGCAGTGGTGCAATCTCAGTTCACTGAAACCTCCGCCTCCTGGGCTCAAGCAATTCTTGTGCCTCAGCCTCCCAAGTAGCTGGGACTACAGGTGCATGCCACCTCACCCAGCTAATTTTTGTATTTTTGGTAGAGACAGGGTTTTGCCATGTTGTCCAGGCTGGTCTCAAACTCCTGGGCTCAAGAGATTCTCCGGCCTTCGCCTCTCAAAGTGCTGGGATTAAAGATGTGAGACACATTGCCCTGCTTGAATGGTTTTTTTTGTTTTGTTTTGTTTTTTTTTTTGGAGACAGAGTCTCACTCTGTTGCCCAGGCTGGAGTGGAGTGGCACGATCTCCACTCACTGCAACCTCCGCCTCCCGGGTTCAAGTGATTCTCCTGCCTCAGCCTCCTGAGTAGCTGGGATTATAGGCATGCACCACCACACCCAACTAATTTTTGTATTTTTAGTAGTGACAGGGTTTCACCATGTTGGCCAGGCTGGTCTTGAACTCCTGACCTTGTGATCTGCCTGCCTCACTCCCAAAATGCTGGGATTACAGGCATAAGCCACTGGGCCTGGCCATTGCCCTGCTTGAATTTGTTGGTTGCATCTCCATGGTGTTATTTAACATGTTCTTCTGTCCCTGTACTTTAGTAATTCAATGGTGTGATCTAATTAAGGCAGGAATAATTTTATAGCAGGAATAATTTCCAGGTGGTGTGTGTGTTTCCAGAGTCAGAACATGTTTGGTTTATGCTCTTGGTGATGTTCTATAATGATACGCTGTCAGTGATCCTCTCCTGGATTATTTTTTTTATTAGAGGTGATTTGTGTTTTGAAAGTGTCACAGGTTGCTGGGGTGTATATTGTATATGAGTAACAGTGTTGTTGCAAGGACGGAGTCGGATAATTGTGCAACAAAGCACTGGGTGCTGTTCCTGGCACGCAATGACCATATTGTTGTTGTTGTTATTGTTAGAGCTGTTGGGGGGGACCCAAGTCCTGAGCCTGGAGGCATTTTCTGGCCAGGGCTGTCTCCTCCCTTCTCCTCTGCCCCTAGAGGAGAAGTCTGCAGTGCCCCAAGGCTCTGGGAGGCATGTTCAGAACTGCAGCAGCCATCTCTGTGCACCTGCTGGGGCCCCTTCAGGGAAGGAAGGCTGGAGCCTCACTCACTCGGTGCTTGCACCAGACTGTAAGTGCCCTAACCTCAATATTCTGCCGCCTGCATGGCCGGGGGCTTCTAGGAGCTGGCTCATTCCTGGCTTCAAAGCTGTGTATGAGCCTTCTCTTTCAGGGAGCCCTCTCTAACTGCAGCCTGGATGTGGCCCCTCCCTTGCCCCTGCTTCTCTAGTCTAGAACTTGTGTCTCTGCATCTGAATAGTCAGCTTGGATGCTGTAGGGTGCCGCTGCACATGAGCCCCTGTGCCCTGCCCAGGACCCAGTACACAGTAGGGCTCAATAAGTGTCAACTGAATGAATACATGGTGCATAAGCCCAAGAACAGGCGCCGTTTCCTTATTTACCCGAGTGCTGAGGGACACAGGTGAAGGTCGCTCCTGTGAGCACCTGTTTCTGGGTCTCCTGATTATTTCCACTTCCCTAAGCCTGTTCAGTTCCACTTCTGTTCTTCTCCCTCTCAATTTGTGCCCCTGTGCCCATCTACTCCTTCCCTAACCCCAACCTCCCTAAACTACCCTCTCTCCAACTTCTGCCCCCAGATCCCCACATCCCACTGCTATCCCTGACTCAGCTTCACTTTTTTTTTTTTTTTTTTTTTTTTTAATATAAAGACTGGGTTTCACCATGTTGGTCAGGCTGGTCTTGAACTCCCGACCTCAGGTGATCAAAGTGGTTGGATTACAGGCGTGAGCCACCATGCCCGGCCGTTTTTTGTTTTTTGTTTTTTGTTTTTTTTTTTTTTTGAGACAGAATCTTGCTCTGTCACCGAGGCTGGAATGCAGTTGTGTGATCTCAACTCACTGCAACCTCTGCCTCCTGGGTTCAAGCAATTCTCCTGCCTTAGCCTCCTGAATAACTGGGATTACAGGTGCACACCACCACACCTGGCTAATGTGTATTTCACCATGTTGGTCAGGCTGGTCTCAAACTCCTGACCTTGGGTGATCCACTTGCCTCGGCATCCCAAAGTGTTGGGATTATAGGCATGAGCATGCCCACCTTTTTTTTTTTTTTTTTTTTTGAGATGGAGTCTCACTTTGTCACTCAGGCTGGAGTGCAGTGGCATAATCTCGGCTCACTGCAACCTCCGCCTCCCAGGTTCAAGTGATTCTCCTGCTTCAGCCTCCCAAGTAGCTGGGACTACAAGACATTTATTGAGCCCCTACTGGCTGGCTCTGCAAACTGCTCCCATCGGAAGGATTCCTGGGCTATGAAGACCTGGCCCTTGTTCAAATGGTCCCCAGGGCCCCTCCAGGACAGTGGGGGCCTGGTGATGAGATTGCTGTGGCAGCCTCCCTGACCAGGTCCTTGCCAGCTTCTCCTCTGACCTTGAGCAGGCACCTGAGTCTGTCTGAGCCTCGGTGTCCTCATCTGTTAGGTGGAGACTGTTGTGGCACACTGGGAGTGCAGTGGGAACCAAGTGCCCGAGCAAGATCCTGAATCAGGGTTCACTATTGGCCACAGCAGGCAGCTGAAAGAATGTTGTATGCCCAGCTTCACAGTCCGCCAGCCATCTGGGACTGGCAGACCCACAGGAACGGAACGTCCCTCAGGGACCACAAAACCCATGCATCTCTGGTGCTAAAGGGATTCTGAGGACTGGAGGAGCCGAATTACCTATCCAGGGTCACCAGCCAAGGCAGGTTAGGACCTGAGTTTGGTGGCTCTCAGGCCTGGCCAGTCTCTTTCTTTCCTTCCTTCCTTCCTTCCTTCCTTCCTTCCTTCCTTCCTTCCTTCCTTCCTTCCTTTCTTTCCTTTCTTTCCTTTCTTTCCT